ACTTAAGTAATCATTTCGAATCAAAAACGTATTTCAGAATTTCAATTAACTTTCCATGAGGTAGCGCATCTACTGTTTGTACGACAGTTCGACCGTAGTTGTCGTCGATGTCCGCCGTGTGCTCCACAGCAAGGTGAGACAGGCACGGGATTTGCGCGCAAATTATAGTGGGAGTAGACTTGCGCAATATATATCACACTCTCTCTTCCCCCCACCTGGGCCCGTTGTCGTGGCACGGTCAAGAAAACCGAAGATAAGGGAGGGCGCAGGTGGCTGGCACGGCCAGACCTCAACCTATGCGTGCCACAACACCCACTTGTCCACAACAAACATTTGAGTAGAATTTAAACTAACAACAGCACCAAAACGGGTCAGAAAGACGAGGATGACTGGGCAGCCATGCTCAACACCTATATACCCAGCGGGAGTGCACGCGCATCTACCGGCAGGGAACCAGGTGCCAAAGAACTGTCAGCACAAATCAGGCTGAGATGGCCATTGTTTGCTGACCCTGGCATAGCAGACTCTCACAAACCCTAAGGCCCAGAAGGGTGACACACAGTCCTGAACTGAGTCTGGGCCATCACCCTTCTAAAGCAGGGTAACCAGTCAGTCATCAACTGAAAGGCAGTACCCATACTCCTCGCATGCGTGATAGTGCCAAAGGTAACTTTAAGAAGGAGCTCTGACAGCCTGGCTCTCAGTCCGCCACTCCACACAAACACATATAACTGGGCAGACTGCGTGGACAGTAGTGAAGCTTCAGTCGGCAGCCTTCCAAGCCATGGTGCTTGACGCACCGTGATAGTCTCAGACTCGGAAAACGCATGCGACAGAGGGGCTGCATGGAGACGGAACCGAGAAGCACAATTCCCGCTTGCATAGGCTCTACTGTATACACGAGTCATGACTCACTGATCAGTTTGGAATGACGAACGTCTTTTAGTTACCAGCTGTGGTCGAGTACGAAGAGGAAAATTTATTGAAAAGGTTCTTTCGATGATTAAACCTCTCCGAGACGAGACGATTTGACCGAGTTTTACCTTAAATAAAGCGAGGCCTCAGTTTATGCGAGAGGCTTCCAGTTGGATATTCTATCCTTTAGGGTTTTCCTAATACCTCTCTTTATGCGACGTCCTGTTGTTTAGACTAACTGGTGAATATCTGATGTAAATACATGCGGCAGATAATCAAGCGGCCTTCAATGAAGAGCAGCTGCGAAATAGGCTTCCTTGCGTCTGGCGACCAAGTGGTCGCTGGTAGGCGACGGCAGGACAAAACGGCGCCGTCAGCTGAGGTCTGACACGTCGGACGCCCTAAGAAATCTCTTAAAGCCTGATGACGGCACGTACGGCATGTATATTGACGACCGTGAGACGACATTAAATAAATTTGCTGTTGATTAGGTTTCGGCTGAAGGAAACGCTAGGTGAGACATCGTCGAAAAAACCCGCGTGATTACTGGGGTCCTCCTGTGTGGTCAAAATTCCTAATAAAATGCATGAAATAAATGTACGAACACGCTTTATGATTCCAGTTGGGACATCTACCGAAATTTATGACATCCGCAGTCGTGGTTCAGCGGTATATGGGTTTAGCTGCTCAGCTGAGAATGGGTCCTCGATATCGGGCGCCGAGTTGTGCGCATGTTACCCGACCTTGACACCCACATTCTGACAAGGTACAGTCTTCACCAACAAAATGTGGATGTCTGCCGCCTTTCTGAAGTCCGATTTTCGGGAGAAAGCCCAAGAGAAATTATGATCCCGGACATGAACATTCTTATCCCTCTCTATCGCAGCCGACTGTGCGATTTCTATAATAGACAGGGTGTGGAGTGTTTGATATCGGAGCAGAAGACCAATATTTCAAGGATGTATACGACTGGAAAGACACAACCCAACATTCTTGTCAATTCTGTCTACGCACAGACATAAGCTGTCGCCTAGAGCGGTAAAGAGGTCCTATACGCGCACTTGCAAGGACTTCTTGAAACCCCTCCTCACCTTGATCTGTTTGTTGCTGCCGGGTGGAATGTCAACATTTTTCAGTCTCCGTAACAGCGTGCGAGTCACCTTCCCAGGAAAAATGATGTTTGTGTTACCAAAGTCGCGCAAGAACAGGATGCCCAGAGAGGACAGCACCCCCGTTGAAATCCATAATTCTTGCATGAGAGCACTAGGGGCAGGGTTTCATGAGGATGGGGATAAGATGACTAGGGTTCCGTCGTCATTGCTCATACTCTCAGTAAACGGGGATTAGACGGAGGGAAAATGCTACCCTGGCAAATGTTTAATCTTTATCGTCGGCAAGGTCTTTGCTTTACTCATTTTCAGCACTTTCAGACTGCTCATGATGCAAGAACGAGGTCCGATAAAGTTGGCAGGTACACCGACCAGGCTTTCATATTACAATGCATTCTTGCATTTCGAGGCGGGTGTCAGTGACCCGACTGTCGCCCGTTCCTGACTCTTACAATTTTAGGTTTCACTCGTTGGGCGTTCTGGCGGCAGACAGTGGAGGTATGCGGTCGGCCTACAAAAACGATCGCTGTGATCAACGCTTATTTTCAGTACATGGCTACGTGAGTTAAGTTCACAAACTCTGCAACCGTTTAAGATCTGGTGTGGCATTTTATGTGGTCACATCCTGTTTTGCATTTTGCTTATGTATTTATTCATAGATGTTTTGGAAGATTTTGAATAATTCATATTGAGTCAACTGTTAAAAACTCGACGCCTCGGTGAGATTTGAACCCATGAAAGTCAACGCCCTAGCCCCTGAGCTACGAGGCCCCACCGGAAGACTTGAGCCTGGTAGTCATCTGGTTAATTCTAGGTGGATTACTTCGGAAATCCTGCTTGGGCAGTCAGCTTACTGTATCAGATTTGGTGGATTCCGGACGCTACAATAGGCTCGGCTGGTAACCTGACCCAAATGGGATTAAACTCATGCTTTCCGGTGAGGCCTTGTAGCTAAGGTGGATGGAGCGTTGGCTGTATTAAAGCTTTCCCTTCCCGTCGTGGGTTCGGATCCAGCCGAGACGCCGAGTTTTTCACAGTTGTGTCAGTATTAATTATGTTATTGTTTTGTGTAATGTTTCCTGTCTGCAAAAGTATCCATTTGTTTGATTGTGACATAGACATGGTTCTCTGGTGGATATCTTAAACTTTTGACGGCACTGAATTTGCTCTATAACGTCAGATTATTCATATTGGGTGGTCTAGGTCGCAATGTCTCGGTTTGTTTGTTCACAAACGTCATAACACTCGCAGATTCCACAAGTTGTTCCTCTGAGAAAAGTCATTCGCGTGATTAGTGAATGTCAGCTTAGGGAAATAGTTCATTTAGGCAATAGATGCCCTGGACTGAAGAGAATTTATTGAAGGCAAACATATGTTCGCTTAAGAGTCTTCTGAAGCCAAATTGTATCTAAACCGATCGTCAGTTCAATATCTAAGCCAGGAATGAAGGAATCGATCTTAATTACAGGCAGTCGATGATATCCTCGGACTCATTGTGGTATTTCAGTCGCCATAAAAGTGCTCGTTTACAGTGCATATGTCTGGCAGATTCACACATACAGCTAGGGGTTTTGGACCATTTACGTGAAAGCTGAGCCGAAAGCCGAGGAGTAAGATCGCTATTGTCCGAGGATGATTCATCCAGTGAAGTAGACTGACCGTACTCCTCGTAACAAAATCGCGAAAATATGTCGAACATGTCAAAGGGACGGCTGAGACGATC